TGACTGACTGACTGACTGACTGACTGACTGACTGACTGACTGACTGACCGACCGACCGACCCATTAGGAACCTATGGGACATCATTTCCTAAAGTTCTTTTTGTAATGATTCATGTTCCACAAACCTTAAAGTTTGATATCCTATGAAAAAAGTAGAGTGAACTTTTAACATGGCATATAATTCAAGTGGCTCTAGAGTGGTAAGACTGACAAAAGCTTCCAAACTGCATAGGACAAAATACAGGACTCCAGAGTCACATCTAGAAGTACCAACGTGGTAGTAGACACTTTTCTTTCCACCCATCAGTCTTCCTATCCCACCCATTTTTTTTACACAACACCATCTTGCTGCAAAGTAACCCCAACCTCTCAACACACATCTAACATCACCTTTATTTTCAAGATGCTTCTGGGCCTCACCATAAGCATGATCAGCATGATATTTTGCTTAGAAGTGTGCACAGCTGCCTAGAAAAAAGGACAAGGATAAGCAGGGGTGGTAGAGAGCATCATGCGGTTGGGGAGGGACTAGTTTCAGGTAGTATTCTTGTAAACCAGTACTTTGTAAATAATTGTATTCATCTGTGGCAGCCATTTGGTGAATAAGAGAGCTGCCTAGTGGCCATAACATGTTTTCAAAATTCCAAATATACCCACCAACTCCAAAAGTTTGGTGACGTCTGGAGGGTAATTTTAAGGGGATTTACTGCATTGAGCCTTTCTTGGCCTACTGCATAGCAAAGTAACACCAGAGTAGAACTGATTCTAGATGAGTTCTCAATAGAATCAAAACAATCCTGGGAACTGACAACTTCATTGAAGCATGTAACTAAAAATGAGATGCATTCATTCCCTTACCTTGGGAACAATCCAAAATGCTATTATAAACTTTAGATGAGAATCTAAGTTGAGAATTAAACTTTAATATAGATGAAGGTATTATTTATTCTCTAAGTTAAAAAAATACTGTATGAGTCAATTCAGTGAAATCGGTTAAAACAAAATTATACCACTGTTACTTATCCCTGTTAAGTATTCCCCTTATTCTGTAGACTCCATAATACTTCATTTTCCATTCAGGATGTTCTTTTGTATTTCTGTGCCTCGTACATGTTCATTGTAAAAGGACTTGCTTTCTATACTTTTATTTACTCACAAGCCAATTGGCAGAGGGCACGTATTTTTCCAAAGTCATGCAATAAAAAATGTAACTCTTGCCAAGATAATACTTAACATTATCTCTGCAGATGGATTTCAGCTCTTGACCCATACCAAGCATTTACTATTATTAATGTGCAGCTAGAGATTTATACATTAGGGAACAAATACATTGACAAGAAAATAGGAGCAGAAATAAGAGAGCTTAACTTTGTAAACAGAGTTTATTTTGACTAAAGAACGTTGAACTTTCACATATAAATGTACTATCATTTGTTACTAAAGTATAATGTTACATTTCAAGCTGCTTCATATTTCTTATCCATGGGGTGCTACATCTAGATTGTCTGATCACACATAATGACATGCCATTTGCATGGTTCAACATAGCAAAATACTTTTCCTGAGCAAGTAATCAATATAACTCCATACATGTGATTGAAACACAACCCATTAAGCATTTAATCTCATTTATATCCTGATTCTTTGGTGACCATGGAGACTGGCTTAGTTCAGAAGTTTCAGTGATAACGTCAATGCTATAAGGGTCAATTTAGATCCTAGACGTTTGTTCGCACAATCCAAGTAGTTATTTTTACCATGACAATGGATCTTGTGATTTAAAAAAACAAAGACTGCTCAGTGGATTATATAGGCATTTTACTGTCACTGTTACATTTCTGGCATAAAGTTACAGAAATGAAATTCCGAGGAACAAACATGTGACTTGTTCACAGAAAGCAGAAAACTACAAAATGCAGCTTTAGCTCTGTTCCCAGCTGAATAAAAATTCAAAAATAAAGGACAAGTGTAAAGTAAACAGCTACTCAGTTATGTGGAATGATAATGAACAAGCAGACATTTTAAAAACAAGAAAGAAAAAGGGATACATAACAACTTGAAACCAGAGGGGTATCAGAAATGTTAAATGTTGAGTTGAACTCACTCATGATCTTATCACTTTGTCAAAGAACTAGGGTATTCTTGTGGTTATAGTCCCAAACATATAGTTCTTACTGATTTGGGATTAACTCAATGGAACTGGTTTTTGAACATACATGCTTAGACTGCATCAAACATGATCGATCTTAATGCACATTTTCATAATGTCATACTTTGGATGGATTTGGTGATAGGAAGAAATGTCAACCCCCACTTCTAGAAACTGAGGCAAAAGTAAGCCTGTCTGATAGGAAATCTCCTGCTGTGGCTATTGTTGATTTCACAGATGACAGGGAAAACAAAGATGCCACAGACAGTATAAGCAACCAGCAGCTTGAAAAGACAGCAGATGGTAAGAATGGCAATATTTGCCAACGGAACGGATCATCAGCACTCACATCTTATTAGTGACTGATCCATTGACAGCACTTTGGCTCCCAGGTCTTAGCCCAGCTCTCAAAACCCTCAGATTACCAGCAGAGGAGAAAACTGAATTTTAACCAGCTGCAGCCAGAAACAGTTTAGGCGGTGGACTGTCAAAATGCTATGGAACCTGTTAATTATTGAGCCAGAAGTCTCAAAATATTAACTTTTCTTGCTTTCTCTAGGAGGCCTAATCAAGTAAATTTTCTTAATTTGCAAGGTAGGCACCAGTGCATTAGTGACCTATGTAAAAACACATTAATTTCTAGATGACTCATAAGAAACAAACATCTAATAATAGGTAAGCTTAAAGTTTCTTCAAGTTCAACTCAACTCCTGGTGACTTCATGGACATAACCACATAGTTCTCCTGACAATAATCCAGAAGTGGTTGGGCCACTTCCTTCTTTCAGGGTGATTTTTCAATTTTCCCAGGGCTCTGGAATTCTCCCGGGGGGGGGGGGGGGCTCTCCACCAAGTACTAATCATACCAAATCCTTCCTAGCTTTTCAGCACAGACAAGATTAGCCCGGGGCTATCACTGGACAAGA